TACTCGGAAGTGTAATGATTATTAAAAGAGACTTTTTCACAAGAGAAGTCGTGTTCTTTCGACGAGGCTTTTTCTCAAAATTAATATTATCATTTTCATTTTATTATCTCCTACACTGTTAGTTGCTATCATTAAATATATGAACTCTAAATATATTCACTAACTATTATCCATTTTGGAAACTGACCATCTTTTGAAAAATAAAACGATATAATATCAACAATTTCGTTAAGTTTTGTATAGTTTCAAATTTTCATACAATCTAAATTGTTTCGTTTTTCTTAGTTTCATAAATTTAGCCCGTGATCTCCCCGAGTTTCACTTACTTTTACATATTTATATATCTTAAATTTCAGGAGAGGCGATTGTTGCAGTTAGAAAGCGTGTGAGATAAGTTGGAGTAGTTATGCTTTCTCGGGGAGAGAAGTGGAGTTTAAATGATATGGTTATGATGATCTACTACTTAATGACGGTGTAGTGTTGTGACGTTTAAATGAAAGTGTAATGATTATAAGAGACTTCGAAACTAGACTTTTTCAGGAGAGAAGTCGTGTTCTTTCGAGTAGTCCATCAAATCACCCATAATTACAGGTTTTTCTTAAATCTTAGTATTACCAATTTTATTTAATATATCCTATATCTACGTTTTGCATAGTTTCAAAAAATTTATGCAATCTAAATTTTGAATTTTTTCTTAGTTTCATAACTTTAGACAATCTAACTCACTTACTTTCACTTACTTATATAGTTATATATCTTAGTTTCACTTACTTTCACGTACTTATATAGTTATATATCTTAGTTTCACTTACTTTATATATAGTTATATATCTTATACAAAGTTACAGTTCCAAGAGATGCGAGTGTAGATATTCAGAAGGCGTGTGAGAGAAGTCGTGTCTGAGAGAAGTCATGTCTTCTCGAGGAGTCCATCAAATCACACTTAAATGGACACGCTTCTTTTGATTAGGGTGAGTGGTTCATTAAAATTTAAGGGTTTATCACTTCTACAAACTTGTGATTTCTCTCACCATTAACCGTTTTCTTTTATCAGAGTTAGACATGGAGAACGTGAACTTGACTTCTCTCCCTCCTTCCATGTTTCATAAGATTCTCTCTAAAGTAGTAAAGACCAGTATCCGGAACTTTGGTTCTGCATTGATTGCTTTTCCCGGGTTCAATGAAGTTGGAAAAGATGATCACTTCTATAGATCGGCCAATCTCATTTACTTCAATGACTGGGCAGACGAGGTCAATGCTGTTCGAGCTTTCAAGCTTAAATGCTACCGTTTGGGTAATCCTGAGGCCATCTACCTGAGAGGCATGTACGAGTTCTTCTTCCTCAATTTACTTGATGAAGAAAGGGAAAAAATACATCGTGCTGGTGAGAGAGGGTGCGTGTTAGCACAATTTGTAGATGCTATGCTGAACTTAGCCTTTAGCGTTGATGGTAGAGGAATTGTTCACAACTACCCTGCTTTTACCGTCAACATGTTGAGGAGATGTTTCAAATCATCACTAGTTGGGATATCTCAGGCAATTGGGATTACGAAAAATCTCCCATGTTTCTATCTGTGGCTGAAAGGATAGATCCTAATGTGCCACATGATTGCTGGTGCTCCAACCTAGACCCTCCAATGTTTGTAGTCTCCCTAGATGGATTAAGATTACGGTGGAAATGCGATCGTTGTTTCTGGAATTGTGCAGTTTGGTGCTTCTGCGATGCCATACACTCGACTGCTCGTGCCTGGCCCATTGAAGATTAGTTGGGTGTTTATGACATAGAAGTTTTATCTAGTTTTACTAAGTTGTTATGTAGATTACTCTTCACAATATGCTCTGCTATTTCTCTAGTTATAGCTATAAACATAATGTACTTTCTCTAGTTATATTTATAAACTAATTTTTTTTATTTGAACTTCAATGAATATATCAATAACAACAACTGTGGCTAAACAATAACGTGATAAAAAATTGCAATCTAAAAGTGCGACTTAGTTCAATTTAGAATACCTTCAATTTATTAGTTTAAGTTTTATTACGCTGCACTGTTACACCAATGTTTACAATTACACCAATTCTTACAAAGGTTTCGGAAAACAGATCCGAATTTTATGGATCGGGTTTGGATAGTTCGTGAAATGGCTCTGGTTGGATTGTAATTATGCAAGTTTTTGTTGGGATTATGGTCTTTTAATAATTTTTCTGATTTAAATAAAGATATATTTAATTACAAATCCGGTCAGTTTCGGATAGGAGTATCTGAGTTCTCTTTTTTTCAGACAGGAGTACCCGAGCGTTTGATTCGTGTTATTATAGAATAAACCAAGGATCTACAAACACTGACTTTGCAGGAATTATTAAATGCATTACAAATGCAAAAAATAGACTTAAAGACAGAGAAGATCACAATTCAGAGGGAGCATTCATTACAAATTTCACGAAACCCGTTCAAACAAGTCAAGGAACCTACCAGAGCTTTGAAAACTTTTATTACAAACCGAGAAAGCAAAGATGGTCAACTACTGCCGGACGGACAATCATTACGAAGCATATTTGTTATTTTAAAAACGAGAAACCTGTCGGTGATCAAAACAGACTTCAAAAGTTTTACTCTTCATTCTGAAACAAGAGCAGAAGAGAAGCTACAATTGGTTCACACTGACAGAAGAGAAGCTACAATTGGTTCACACTGATGTATGTGGTCCTATGAAAACATAATGAACTAATTTAAGCAAATATCCCTACTTTCATTCGTGATTATTCAAGGATGCTATGGGTTTATTTTCCAAGATTAGAATCTGAAGTTTTTACAACCTTTAAGAATTTCAAAGTTATGGTAGAAGTACAAACATAGAAGAAAATTAAAGCAATCAGATCTGACCTAGGCAGTGAATATGCATTACAAAACATTCACCAAATTTCTAGAAGAAGCAGGCATACAAGGACAACTTATATTTTCCTACACGCTACACATAATGGACGAAAAATCAGAACGTTACTATAAATGGCATGCTCTATGCTAGAAGCTCAAGGCATGCCATAAATGTTTTGGTGGAAGCTGTTTTTATAGCATCATATCTTCAAAACAGATTATATACTAAGACACTCAACAAGAAAACACAAATAGAAGCATGGAGCAATAACAAACCATTGGTGAGTCATTTAAAAGTATTTGGATATATTTGTCCTATACTAGTTCCTAAAGTGAAGAGGAAACAATTAGATAGAAAATCATGTAATTAAGAGTCTTTTTGGGTACAACACACCAAGCAAAGGATACAAGATCTACATACTAGATACGAAGAGAGCGGACGAGTCTCTAATGTAGTTATATAAGGAAACAAAGTTTGGGGTTGCGAAAAAGAAGACACATGCATCCACTAATCAGGTGGTGTCTCATTTAAAAAACGTCCAAGAAATTTGAAAATTATCAAAACTAAGTCCAAACATTACACCACAAGAAGATAGAAGTGAACCATCTACACCACGAACATGAACACACAAATTGGACCGAGAGCAATGATTCACCTGAAGTAATGAGGAAAACTGAAAGCCTCACTGATATTTACAGTCATTGAGATAGAAGAATGAATCAATCAAGTGGAAGATTTTTCTTGTATGTGAATGGGAGAACCTACGTGTTTTGAGGAAACTGTCAAAGACAAAGATTGGAGACATGGGGTCCGATTGGTAACGACTTTCACTTTAGGCTTTGACTTTAGAATTGTGGCCGCAGAGATTTTGGCTTTAAAGGCTGTAACTGTTACTTTAGAAAAAGTTAAAAGTCTGATTGATATTCAAATCTTTAGAAATTGTGAATGTTATAAATATATATTTATATTTCACTTTCCAAAATATATTACCTATTTTTTATTTATACAAGTCCACATAATATATTGGATAGTTTAAACACACAAAATCAATCAAATTAACAATATATTTTATATTTTTATTGTAAAAATTTGAAATTTTAACCAATAAAATTATTTTTATTAAATTTAAAATAAGACAATAGTTTATTAAATAATTTGAATTCGTTAAACTTTAGGATTTTCCCACTATTTTGGGCTTTAAACAATAAGCCTAGAAGAAAAAAACATTAAACAAAAAGCTCGTATGATAATAACTCAAACGAACAAATTAAAATACATAACTAAATTATATATTCATTTTATAAATAAGGAAAAATACTTAAATTTTGTTGTTTTTTTATTTTATTTCACATTCATAATTTTTTGAAAATATATATTAGGTTATGATAGTGCCGCGTGGGACTCGTTTTGTTTTTTTTATTTTTTGGGTTGTTCATTTTTTTTTATCCATTTTTAATTATTTTTGCGTTTGAATTCGTTAAACTTTAGGATTTTTCCCACTATTTTGACCTTTAAACAATAAGCCCAGAAGAAAAAACATTAAAAAAGTCCATATATTAATATCCCAAACAAAAAAAAAACTAAAATACATAACAGTTTCATGGTTTGAACCCACACGCTTGTAGACTTAATTAGATCTCTTATACCACCAGACTAAAGTTTATTCATTGTTCATAGTCATTTTAGAAAAATTATAGACTTGTAAAACTTAAACATGTGAGACCCATAAAATACTGACATGGACACCTTAAGAAGTCTTGAAAGTACACTATTATATATAAGATTATAGGTTTAGAGGCTATGGAGAAATGAGACACAGCTAGATCTTGTGGATCTAGCTAGCCATTGGATATTGTTACTAAAGAAGTGAAGTAATTAGATGCATCCATCTCGCTTATTATGGGTTCAAGAAGATCATATATACCATTCAATGTTTTCAACCATTGTTATGATTCTAACCAAAAAAATCACTTAAGCAGAACCTTGGGAACCGCTTGATAAATCCACGTGAAATCAAGTTTTGTGTTCTGTTGATGAAGATGATGTTACCTATGTCTGATGTTGTTACCTTACGTCTGAACCAATTCTTAATACAGAAAGTATGTTCAGTACATGGTTTTTGTTGTTGTAGAATATATGTATATGTAACAAGTATAAGATACAGTATTGTTGACGTCAGATAAAAGTAAAACAGAGACAATAACTAGAGAATATGTTGATAATACTTCCATTAGATTCACTATATTTCAAATATCAGGAAAAATATTTTTTTCAACGAGGATAGAAATATGTAATCGATACATCATTGATAGAACCCGTAATAGACCTGCTTGTCGATTGCGTAGACTCCAAGCCATAAGCGCCTAGTTCATGCCTGCTTGGAAGGCAAAATCCTGGTGCTCGAGGCACAGGTAAAGTAGTTGTGCTACTAGTGAGCATCACAATAATTGCTGGTAACAAAGGACGATCTGAAGGATCTTCTTGAATACATAATAGTGCGATATGGATGCATCTAGTAGCCTCACTGCTTTGATAACTATCTCCTATGATAGGATCTATTAGTTCTAAGGGCGATCCGTTTCTCCAAAGTCTCCAAGCCTAATAAAAATGATCAAGTAAATGAAATCATTTGGATTAATCATATACATAAATGGAACTTGGAAAATCAATACTCACATGTGCGACCAAATTGCCACCAAAGTCACCAGTGTTGTAGAAATTGCTAATCTTTTTGCCACTTATTATCTCCAGAACCAAAATCCCAAAGCTATAGACATCAGATTTCATGGAGAAATGGCCACGCATAGCATATTCCGGAGACATATAACCACTGCAAATAAGTTATACACCTTTTTAGCCTACTAGTAACAAAACGACCACCAAAAAGTTCATATAATCAAATTGAGCTGGAAAGTTTACTATGTTCCAACAATTCTTCTTGTGTCGGCTTGACTTTGATCAACTCCAAAAATCCTTGCCATGCCAAAATCTGCAATCTTCGGATTCATATCAGCATCTAAGAGAATGTTACTAGCTTTGAGATCACGGTGTATAATTGTAAGACGTGAATCTTGATGAAGGTATAGGATCCCTCGAGAAATCCCTCCAATAATGTTGTAACGCCTTGTCCAGTCTAGTTCGCTTTGCTTTGCAGGATCTGCATGTTCATTGTATACATATGATATCATTAGCTATAATAGCACTCAAAATTAATTAGTACGTAAGCTCAGATCATACCAAAGAGAAAATAGTCTAGGCTTTTGTTGGGTACAAATTCGTAGACAAGTATCTTTTCTTCTCCTTCCAAACAGAAGCCTAGAAGCCTAACCAGATTCCTATGCTGAAGTTTTGTGACAAGAACAGCCTCGTTCTTGAACTCCTGAGAACCCTGTCCTGATGATTTCGATAGTCGCTTTACCGCTACTTCAGTGCCAGTTGAAAGAATTCCCTAAAAAAATATAAATCAAACGCTGCATTGATTAAACTTCCCAAAGGGAAATAGCAAATCACACTGAAGACAACTTATTACCTTGTAAACTTCACCGAATCCACCTCGGCCAACCATATTACGATCTGCAAACTTATCAGTTGCATCTTTAATCATCTTAAAACTGAATTGCAGTGAGCGTGTTGTTGTGATCTCATCACCAGCTGAAGAAAGAAAGTGAAAATATCTTTCTCAAATCAAATTTACTTACCAGAATATGTACAATAAAACAATTAAGCCAAGTGATTGGTACATTAAGAACCAACCTTGAACTTCATTCGTTTGGCTTAACTTCTTTTTTCTGCAAGCCATGAATCCTACAACGAGTAGTACCAACATAATGACGGCAGGGACAACAATTGCCACAATAATACCTGTTGAAATTATCTTTCCATCTACACAAACAATGAAATCACCAACAAGAACTGTAAATGGGAAGAAGCCTTTGACTTTTTCACACATTCTTGTTACAAATCATATAAAGAAGATTTACCTTTGCTGGTTGTATTTGCCGGATCGCTTAGGGGAGGAGTCAAAGAAGGTGGTGGCGGAGGTAAAGCATGCGGTCGAGCCGGTGGCAATGTAACATTATCAAAAGCTCCAGCATAAGGATACAAATCCCACCGGAAAAAGCAACTCGGCCTTATAACCGCACCACCTTGTTTACCACGACAACACGACAAATACTCACCAGCGCTTTTCTTAAGACAAAACTCACAGTCCCTTGAAGAAACATCAGGTGTACATTGCATCATTGCGTACATAGTTTCGAAAGTTGTCAACGAAGCGACCTCAGCTGCAAAGTATTTTTGCTTAAACGATGATGATGATGATAGATTTGAAGCTGCAGCTATTGTACGGACCATTAACTCGTCATAGACTCTATCAAACACTGTCATATTAGCATCAGTATCTCTTATATCTCCATCATTGTACAGAGCCCGTGATGGTTCCATAAGGAGTGATCCAGAGAAGGAAATGTTGGAATAACGTACCATACAACAATCTGGCCATGTATAAGCTTCTGTCTGGTTAGGACAGCTTTGTGATAAACTGTCGGATGCTCCTTTGATGCAATCTGAACAAGTCGTTGGTTTAGTTCCAGGGATGCACATGCCAATGATGAATATTCTGTTGGGGCTTTGACCGATCGAGGAGTTGAAGAAACCGTTGTTAGATGTGACATTAGAAGCAAGAGAAGAAAGGATCTGACGACGGTTTAAGTCGTAAGTAGAATTGGGTTTAAAGAAGCCATTAAAGCAGATTTCTTGTGCAGAAACAGAGTCAAATACTATGAGGGAAACTAAGAACACTGGTAAAAATGAAGTCTTCATCTTCATCTCTCAAGATCAAAACCAAAGGCTGTTTATAAGTTAGATTGTTAGAAGTTAGAGAAGGTCAACTTCAATTACTTAAAAAAAAAGAAAAAAAAAAAAAAAAACGTCAAATACTTGTATGGATTTTTTTCTGCTGATTTATTGTTGAGGAAAGATGAGAAAATGACAGACTAGTTGAGTTCTGCCGAACCTACAAGCTGGTCAAACTAAACGACAAGAAATAAAGAGGCCCCACTCATATAATGATGAAAGCTAGTTTTACCAATAATATGGACCCAAACACTCTCCAGCATTAAGAATAGATAGAATAATAAAATAATATGATAACTGAGGAAAATTAAGCATGTAAATTTTGAATATGGTCTGAAAAGCCATGTTATGTGACTCTGTTTAACATCAAATACGCAGAGAATGGTTACTCTGTTTAACATTAAAAAAAAAGGAAACATGAAGTAGTTCGAGTACTGAATCGGTAACTGAGTCAATAGCTGAATCAATTATTTTTTCCATATTAGCAATTTTTGTTTACCTCATTGACAGATTTTCTCGTCAAATTTCTTATTGGTAGATTCTTATCTGTGGATGATTTAAACTTTTTTGGTAGTTTTGTTATTCAGATTTTTAATCATCCACAGATAATACATAGGACTAAAAGACTCGATAACTACTCGAAAACACTTTAGAAAACTATAGATTATGTCAAAAACATGACACATCAAAAGAGTTCAGGATAAATATCTGGGGTAGGTTACATTACTTTCTTGATTTACATGCTCAGTTTTTCACCCTGACGGATTGTTCTAAAACCAAGGATCTTCTTCATATTGCTGGAATACCAGACTGTTCACTTGTTGCTACACCTCTGCCTCTGCAGTTGAACAGAGTTCCAGACGCATTAACTCTATTGCTTGAACCAACTTATTTTTTAGAAGCTTGGCTAGTAAGCGTCAATATTTGACGACCTGATCTTCAGTTTGCAGTGAATTACATTTGTCAAAAGATGCACTTACCAACTTTTGATGACTTCAATTTACTCAAGTGTGGGTTAAGATATTTCAGAGTAACAACAAGTCTTAGCCTTTCATGTCAAGCTGACACAGATTGCACACTCAGGACATATAAAGACAGTGACTGGGGAGGTTTTCTGAATACAAGAAATTCGACAAGAGGTTTCTGCACTTTCTTAGGCTCCAATTTAATCCCATGGTCTGTTCAGAAATAAAATTTAGTATCACAAAGCTCCACTAGTGCTGAGTACAAAACTCTTTCTGATATTGAAGCAAAAACCATTGGGCTGGCTAATCTTCTTACAGAAATTGGAATATATCAACCTTTTACCTCCTTAGTTATACTAAGACAGTCTATCTTTCAGCCACTCCAGTGACGCACAAGAAGTCTAAACATTTTTCCATTATGTTTGGGAAAAAGGTGGCGCAAGGAAAACTTGTAGTTCATCACATCTCATCAGCTTATCAGTTAGCGGATATTTTCACAAAGTCACTACCAATACAAAGCTTCAAGGATCTACGGTTAAACTTGGTATGGTTTGTTCACCCACACCAAGTTTGAAGGGGCATATTAGCAATAAAAACAAGGAACAAAGGTCCAAACGACTTCACTTTAAAGAGGACATGCGAATGAGCCTATAAAAAACAAAAAACAAAGCTGCAAAAATTTAAACAAGTTTCACAAAGAACGTACATAGTGGGCTTGTGCAAAGGGGGTGAGAAACCCATTCGTAGCAACAGGAAAACAACGGCTATCTCTTGAAATGAAAACAAATAAGAATGCAGAAGTGATCCTACAATGCACAGAAAAGCAAAGCCAAGAGGAATTCATAACATATTTGATTTTCTTGGATCCAATGCTGAGATGAATCACTAAACACACAGCTGTCTATCTTGCTAGGGTTTTCAGTCTATTGTATATATACTAAGAGATGTTAACAGTTTACTTTAAGCAAGAACTGAAATGAAAACGCTCAAGCTTCTTCTCTGTTTTTGGGTTCTTTAAGCTATTTTCTGTTTTCTGCTTTCAAGGTGCAACTAGAAGAATATACTACACCAAGGATTCAGGCAAATTAAGCAAGTAGATTGTGAAATGGCCTGGAGATTCTTTCGTATGCTTTTCTTGTTCTACATCAGATTGGTAGATTCATAGAAAATCAAACAAAAAGGAAAAACAAGAAAAATATGTTGGGAACAAAGATCAAGAACTATACTTGAAAATTCGTTTTGAATACAAACAGACCTATACAACAGCCAAATTAAATCTAACACAGTGAAACCAAAACCTGCATCATTAAATCTCAACCACCAAATAAAACATGATTGATACACAACAAAGGATAAACGAGGGAATTGATGAGGAGACAGAGTGAGCAAACAGTAAATTTTGGTTTTCATTTCAGTTGTTACTAAATAGAAACCGGTTAAAATTATACATTGGCTCATCTTCAAAACAGAGTTCCCTTGTGTTAACACACGAAGATCATATACACAACATTTTTATAATAAAACATAGAAACATCATCTACCTTTTCCAACAATCATTTCAAAAAAAAACTGTCATCTTCAACGAGGAACCAACTCATTTATCAATGAAGCATTGACAGAAACAGGAACAGATTTAATCGGAGGTAGACACATCTCTGAACCCTCATATACTGGTGACTGAGGTAGCTGTAAAATGATAGAGTTACTGGTGAGCATTGAGATAATTTCGGATATATCTGGACGGTCATCTGGATCAGTCTGAACACATAATAGCGCAATATGGATGCATCTGACAACTTCGTTACTCTGATAGTTCTTTTCTATTTCCGCATCCACTAGTTCTAGCGGTGACCCGTTCCTCCAGTGCTTCCAAGCCTACCACAATCGTCAATCAGTCAAACCTACAGAATCAAGAAAATTGTCATTTAGATCGTATGCTCACATGTGTGACCAAATTCTTGCCAGATCCATCCATCTCGTGGAAGTTGCTGTTTCCTTTTCCACTAATAATCTCGAGAATCAAAACTCCAAAACTAAATACATCAGATTTCCTGGAGAATTGCCCATGCATCAAATACTTTGGAGCAATGTAGCCACTGATACAAAAAAGAAAAAAAATATATTGATTTTACCGGTTACTAGAGTGTCACCAAAATTCACAGATTGCTAGGCAATAAAGGGAGAAAAAAAATATTTTACTGGGTTCCAACGACCCTCCTTGTATCGGCTCGAGATTGATCCAACCTCAGTATCCTTGCCATTCCAAAATCTGCGACTTTGGGTTCCATTTCAGCATTTAAGAGGATGTTACTAGCTTTGAGGTCACGGTGTATGATTTTGAGAGGCGAGTCATGATGAAGATATAGGATTCCTCTAGCAGTCCCGAGAATAATCTTGTATCTTTTAGCCCAATCAAGCTGGCTTTGCTTTGTAGGTTCTGTACAAGTCATTAACGACGAGTTTAAAAACTCCCAAGGTTCAAAAACTGCAACACGATAATCATTATAACTTCAAAATGTTAATCTGAGTCTTATATGTAAAATACCAAACAAGAACTGGTCGAGGCTTTTGTTGTGAACAAACTCGTAAACCAGTATCTTCTCTTCTCCTTCCATACAAAACCCAAGAACTCCAACCAAATTTCTGTGCTGAATCTTTGCGACGAGACTAGTCTCATTCTTGAACTCTTGTACACCTTGTGCTGATTCCTTAGACAGCCTCTTCACCGCAATTTCGGACCCATTATGAAGTAAACCCTACAAATTACATGGAGGGAACATAAATTAGATCAAATGCATGCAGTTGAAAGAGAATTATCCAGCCTAGAAATAGAAGAGATCACCTTAAAAACTTCTCCAAATCCACCTTCACCGAGCATGTTTCTCTTCGAAAATGAACATGTTGCAGCTTCAATTGTCTTCAAATCATATTGCAGGGAATTTGTAGGTGGTTCTGCAACACATATACAATCGTATAATTCGTAGCAACGCAGACAAATCCCAAACCATGATAATATTTATCTTGTGCAATCACTATTAACTTTTAATATCACCCACCAGAGCATTTTCTAAGCCCGGCCTTATAATCATTGGCTATATGGTAAAAAGTTGGACGGAGATAGAGCAAATGACATGAGTAATAAGGTCATTATTTCTAGTCAAAACCCTAGACTGTTGTACATTATTAAATAAGATCAAGTAGTGCCAGTAGTGCCAGTATGTCTTGTTTTTTTTATGAAAGACATGATGAGGAAAAACGCGAATCAACTTACTTGGAGAGACAGGTGGTTGGTACCTTCTCCTTCTGATAACTAGTACAACTACTATAGTAGACACCACACAACAGATAATCACGATGGGAACAACAACCGCCACAAAAAATACCTTCGAGATTTTGTTGCTACATTGTTTACCTAGTTTACAAGAAGAAACTACATCATCCAGTGACTGAAACTGCAGTTTCAAGTATCAATATAACAAAATGATAGGTTTTGAGAAGTTCTTGCGGTAAATGTTTTTTTTATTTAAATTTTATCTTTTGTAGTCTGAGGACTTACTTTGATTAAAACCTTCGCTGAAGGGATACAGATCCCACCGTAAGAAACAGCTTAGATATGCAATAACGCCTCCTAGCCTCCCAATGAGGTCTTCAGCCTTACGATACACACTAACACTTTCTCGAAGACATGCCGAACAATTCGATGAAGATAGATCTGGACTGCATAGCATTAATGCGTTTAAAGTCTGGAACTTCGTCAAGGCCACCGTATTAGTTGCAGCTTTCTTTCCCCTGGAAACTTCATCTATCATACGAGTTGTTAAATTGCTAAATTTTTGGTCAAATTCTGTTATCTCCAACCTGGAAACCCCACTGCTGTGCTCGGAATAAAGCAGGTGCGTATCAGGGGTTCCAAAAAACGAATGGTTAGAGAAGCGTGCAAAACAAAGCGTTTTATACGGAAACCATATAAATCCGTCACTCTCAATATGACAGTTATGTATTAACAAGTCAGACGCAACCTTGAGACATTGGGAGCAAACCTCTGGGTCACTCCCATCTATGCACATTGCCATTGCATATACTCGGTCAGGAGACTTAGGACCATCTCCCACCGAGCCACTGTAGTAACCATTGGGCATCTTCACGTTAGCAGCAAGAGATGAGAGGATGTCTTGGCGGTTAATAGCATATTTACTAACTCCCCCAAAAGACCCAGTACCACTGCATTGTTGTGAAGAAACAACAGCAAATATACTACTGAGTACAAACAAGAAGATCAATAAGGAAATCTTCTTGGCCATTCTTAATGCTTTGGGTTAGTATATGCGTATCTTAACATTTTGTACCATTTTAATAGCAGTTGAGTTCTCTCTACAAGTTGCAAAACTTAATTGTCAGTGGCAATATTAAAGCTGAGTCAACCGATAGACAAAATCAGAGAGGCAATCATAGCACATATCTGATGTGTTTGTGTTAATAAAAATACTGTTGAAGTTTCAAATATGTTTACGATGGGAGAATATGTTATGTTTACGATGTGAGATGCACCCAGAGCCCCCCCCCCCACTATGTTTGGAGAGAGAGAGAGAGGAACATATGAGGTATAGATTATAGCGTTGGTTTCGTTAATATAGAAAGTCTCAATCATTTTAGTCAAATCAATTATTCAATCTAGCCAATAGATTTACAGTAACAATACTTTGATACCTTCAAAATGGACATTCTTATTAATTTTCAGCAAATTGAGCAATCTCAACAACTAATATTTATAACACCTTGACACCATCAGTATTTTCTTATTACTTCTAAACATAAACAGTAATACATGTGTTGACAGAATCATTCAACTTAACTAAAAAGAAACAATATCATTGTTGGCACTCACTTTCAAACGTAGCCTGTGTTGAAAATAGCTCCTTGTTGGTGGTAGAATACCCCCTCTACAAAGGCCCACTGAATAATGGGCCCGGCCCATATCAGCTTTGGCCCGGCGAGCTAATCCAGCCGTAATCGACGAGTAATCAAACTTAACTCGGATAATCCCCGTAATTAGTCGAGTTAAAGACGTTAAGGCAAAATGCTCACCTTCGCGGGCCGATCGAGGCCCATTTGGCAAAACGCCTCCGAACCCGCGACCAGTTCGCTAGGTCAAGGCGTCGTCACTATAAAAAGGAAAGAAAAGGTAACAAGGAAGGGGATATGAAACCACTCTTACTCACAAGGCGGTTAAAATTAGGGTTTTCACTCTTTTACTTTCTTTCCGACTGGTACGGCACGGTTGAGCTCTCTGCGAGACTCCGCCTCGCCTCTCATTTCCTCATTTGTAACCGAACTCTTTCATCAATAAAATCATTCTTCGACCTTAAATAGTAAAGAACGCCTTTGAAATAACCCACATACGAGTCCAGTCACTCATTCACTGAAAAGACCGAACTCGGTTCGAACAGTTGGTGCCCACCGTGGGGCATAACAAAGTAGCGTCAACACAAGCTATAAGTCCAAGTAACGATTCAACCTCCGGCGACGAGGAAGATGCTGCAGTACCGACCTCAGGCGCCGCCATACCACTCGCTCCCACCTTCGTTGACTCCGTCATGAAGTGCCTTGCTCGCCAAGACGAAGCCTAGAAGACGAGGAACAAGCACCTCGCGGCTATCGCCGCCGTACTCGCGAATCCGGACGGCGCCGGGGGACACCTCTCCACGGCCCGACGATTCCTCTTCAACACAAATCCTACTCCTACTCCGGCTAACCAGCCCATCATGCCGACCGGACCCCCGGATGACTCTGTACCACCGAGAAACGGCCCAGATCTGCAAACTATCCAGGAAATCGCTGCTCTCAAGCAAGCTCTCCTCGATATCAATTCGAAGATTCACGGTGTCACGACTTCCGCTCCGCTCATCGAAAGCGTCCTTGCAAACACCCTCCGGACTCCGTTCACTCTGAAGATAACCGGCGTAAGACTCCGCAAGATGGACAAGATCCGCTTGCCGACGTACAACGGTCTCTCGGACCCAACGGCCCACATCATGTCCTTCAACATCGCGATGCGGCGACAGAACTTCTCCGACGAAGAACGAGACGCCGGCTACTGCCAACTCTTTGTCGAAAGCCTAACCGGCGTGGCCCTCACGTGATTTACCGGTCTCCCAGAAAGCTCAGTTGACAGCTTTCACGACTTATCGTCCGTGTTTTTGAAGAACTACATAATGTTCACACGTGAGGAAGCTACCGCGTCCGACCTCTGGAACCTCTCCCAAGCACAGGGGCAAAGCCTTTGCAGCTTCATGGAAAAATTCAAAGGGATTGTGTCCAAAGTCAAAGTCCCGGATAGCATCGCTGTCGACGCCCTTATGAACACACTGTACGTACACTCCAAGTTCTTGTGTATAAGCTTGCTTCGTCCATGGAATACATGGTTCTTTGTAAGTGCAATAGCTGAATTATTATCAATGTTGATTGTTGTCTTCTTTTACGGTTTCTCAGTGACTTCGTCGAGGAGTTTTTGTAGCCAAATTTCCTGTTTTACGGTCTCGGTAGCCGCCATAAATACTGCCTCACAAGTGGATAGTGCCACTGTTTCTTTCTTCATCGAACACCATGATATGGGACAATCGTTGTTGTAGAAGATATGGCCGGTGGTGCTTATCCCGTCATCTGCATCAATGTTATGTCCGCGATCAACATAACCTATAAGCTCTCTTCTATCGTTTTTCTCAAACTTGATACCATACGAAAGTGTTCCCTTTAGGTATCTGAGAACTTTCTTCAGAGCGGCTGCATGTGACACCTTCGGTTGATACATATATTTACTCATTACACCCACACAGTAGGAATGATCTGGTTGTGTATGTATTAGATGGTGTATACACCCAATTTTCCTTATGTACTCTTTCTCGTCAACATCTTCTTCATCTGACGCCATAGAAAGTTTTAACCCTAAATCTATTGGTGTATGAACCAAGTTGCACTCATTCATACCTGATTCTTCTAGTATCTTCTTCTCATATCTCTTTTGCACAAGCCTAATACTCTCCTTGCACTGAACTACTTCAATGCCTAGATAGTAAGTAAGTAATTCCAAATCACTCATATCCAACCTTGCTGAGATTCCTTGTTTGAATTCAACTATCATATCAATTCTTGATCCAGTGTCGAGAATATCACAGAGACAGCCACCATTAGAATTTGCTCGTTCTCACGTGTTGGATACAATGAGGGCTCCTTCGAACATTTGACAAAACTCATCTCACCAAGTGCCTTGTTTAGTTTCTCGTTCCACGCTCTCAGAGCCTGCTTCAAACCATATAATGCCTTGTTTAGTTTTTTTACCTTATGTTCACTCCCCTTTACTTTGAACCCTTCAGGCTGTGTAACATAAACATCCGCTTTTAGATCACCTTTTGAAATTGCCATCTTGACATCTAAGTGATGTATTTTCTATCCTTGTGAAGCAGCTAGAGCTATGATGAATCTAATAGTTTCAATACGAGCCACTGGAGCAAATACATTTTCAAAATCAATCCATGTCTTTGAAAGCATCCTTTCACAACAGGTCTTGACTTATGATTGTTTATGCTCCCATCAGAGTTGCGTTTAATTTTGAAGATCCACTTTAGACCAATTACTTTAGCACCAGGTGGTAAGTCTACAAGATGCCATGTTTTGTTCTTTATAATTGATGAAATTTCCTCTCCACACGCATCTCTCCAAACTTGTTCTTCTATGGCACTGCTAAAAGCGTATGGTTCGTCACTGAGAAAGAGCAATAGACGTTCACCTTCTACTCAGCCAAATACACGTAACCATCCAAGTAACTTGGTCTCTTGGTTATGCTTGTTTATCGTCTTAAATCTCTTTGTGTATCCTGGTCGGGTATAGTAAAAGTTTCACCTTCTTCTTCTTCGTTAATCTCACCATTAATGTCTTGCTATGTTTCTTGTTTCCATAGTATCCAAACGCAATTCTAATAATCTTCCTGTGTTTCAGTATTTGATATCGTCCATTCCCATGGTTTTGCCTCATCCAAGTGCACATCACTGCTCACTACTTCTTCCCGTGTACCGGATCATCCAACCTATATGGTTTTGAGCTTGGCTCAGTAACCTTTCCGGATAACCAAAAGCGAAGTGTTCGAGCTTATCTAAGCAAAAACATATCATCTTTGACATGTCTATGTCTCTATATGATCTAACACGTCCTCGTCCTCCTCTGTTATAGAAATGTTCTCCTCGGCCTCGTCCTCCACTGTTATAGAAATGTTCTCCTCGGCCTATCTTTCTGTAGTCTCCTTGGTATTTTTTTGTCTCTCGGTATGACTGAGGTTGTGGTGTTTCCATGTTCGCATACATAAGTTTGGTTTGGCAGTCTTCATCATCCTTTTCTTCTTCACAATCTCTATCCTCAAAGGTTGTGGTCTTAAGGTCTAAGACTTGTTCAAGTGAGGCGACTATATGTATATATTTCTTTCTTGTTAGAGAAGAAGGAAACTTCTTAACAAGTTTTGTCTCATCAATGTTCTCCCCTAATGCACAAGATTTTTAATGCATCTCTGATAGCTTACCAACAAAGCTATCAATCGTGTCTCTGTCATTCATCTTGAGACGATCAAATTCCGCCATTAGGGTTTGAAATCTTGCTTCTTTCACTATGTATGTTCCCATGTGCCTTGCAGTGGTAGCTCCTAAACCTTCTTCGCGTTGTCTAGATCTCCGACTTGAAGAATAAGGGCTTTGGGAATTGACTGAAAGATCAAAGCGATTGCCATATCATTCTTCTCTGTTTCATTGGTTCCTTGTTCAACCACTTCCCAAGCCTTGTGCACCTTTAGTAAAATCTTCATGCGAATAGCCCAGATGGTGTAGTTCGTAGTAGTAAGTATCGGACAGCTAATTGATGAAGCTCCTCCAAATATTCTTTTAACTTTGTCATCATACCGCACGAATGATGTTATCTCTCCCATTCTCGAAAAGGCTCTGATATCAAATATTGTTTAACCTCAACGTATGACCTTAATGATCTCAATAAAAAAAAACTCAACTTCTTATTAAAAGCTTAATGTGGGAACCGAAATTCGCACTGTCGATTTCCGTAAAATAAGGTGTAGCAGGTGAGCTGTACCCGCCCCTCAGGGCCCACAGGAAACCATACTCGGCCGATAAGAGACGAGTTACTGACGACTAACGGTTAGCCGAGTCATACCCGAGTAGCATCCGTACAAGAAAGGAAGTCATCCTTCCGAGTCAAGAAAAGGCCCAATACTAAGGCCCATTAACATACACCAACTTAGGTCAAGCTT